CCCAACAGTCCTTTTTAGTGGCATGTACTCCCCCCTTTGCTGAATATCACACATTCCTCTCCAGTGAGTGGGACATAAAAATAGACACTGGGCTCTGTTGTGGTCTTGCTGTTTTTAGAATGGATGTGGCCAGCTGAGCCCTGTTCCCCACATGGGCTGACTGATTCCCACTCTGCTGACTGACCAGGTTGTAGAGGAGTCAGGAGCCCTGGGAATGAAGGGCAAGTGGGATGCTGCCATGAGTTGAGGAGATTCTTGCCTTGCTCTTCTGTTTCCATGTCTCCAGGTTCACGGAAGACACTAAGTTGAGCCCTGACCCTTTCTGCCCTCGGCCCATGCCACGACCATGACCGAGTGGCAACTGTCTCTTCCTGTTACCTTCTATGCAGCATCCTTCTGCAGGACTGGCTCAGCAGCCTGGACACTGGAAGAAGGCTGGCATGACCTCCTTCCCATGCCTGCAAAAGATAGGCCGTTTGGAAAGACTTGTCCCTGGCATGCACAGTCTTCCTGTTTCCCTCCTTGGCCTGTGTGAGCCCCCGGTGGAGGTGGTCAGGTCTGGCCTCTAAAACCAATGCAGTCTCTGGAAAAGTCAGGTGAGCTACCATGCTGGCTCCTCTGTAATGAAAAAGGGACAGTGAGTCTTCTCCTTCGTGTGACTTTGGGGAAAGGCTCCATGCCAGGCACATAGCACATGCTCTGTCAAGCAAATCTTCTGGACTGTTCTTCCCAAGTGTGCGGTGTGAAGTCAGCTAACTTCTGTCTCTGGGATCGAGGTACAGGTGGCTACAGTGTCCCTGATGGCTTCCCAACAAGGTATTGGGCTCTCATTTGCCTTGCTCTGGTCCCTGGGGGTTTGGTACCTGTTTTCTCTAGGTGGGACCAATGGCTAACTGGTCCTGAAATAGGAGAGCTGAACTTGGGTGCTTCTCTGGCTCCCAGATCTGAAGCTGTGATGCTCCCCATGGGTTCTCTTGTCCAGCCACCACCCTGTTCCGTAAGCTTTCACAGAGTGTAGGGGTCCTGGGACTACCAAAGCTCTGTCCTCTTCAACTCCTGTGAGCCTGGAATTATTGGGTTGTATCAGCAGTCATGAGACCCAGCTGTAAGGAAGGCCAATTCCCAGCAGGCCATGAGGGAAACACACAGGAGGAGGTCACTGACCCATGAGGGATGGTGTTACTATAGTTTTACGTGGCCTTGTTGAGCCCATTGTTTGGTTCTTCAGCTGAGCCAACATAGACTGGGACATGGAACAAGTTCTTCTCCTCCCCGCCCAGCCACCAGATAGTGTTTGGATATCTTGATTCACAGTACCTTCTCTTCTTTTGGGGCAGTGAGAGGTCCTTCATCAACGAGGAGGTTGATTTGTGAAAGGAAACCAGTCACACTTTATGTGCAAAGTTAGGATCAAGAAAACAGAGGGAAAGGGGGGCAGATAGGTTAGGAGCTGCTGCCCCCCTCCCTTCCCTCATGCTCCCCTTCCTCCTCCTCTCCTCCCTCACCCCCTTTCTTTTTCTTTTTTTTTTTTTTTCTTGGTACAAGGTGTTGCTGTGGCTTGTTGGCCCGATAATTTCTTTTCTTTTTCAAATTAGCTTTGTATTGATACTTTGTGGATTTCACATCATGCAACTCTATCCCACTCATCTCCCCATCCCTTCCCATCTGCCCTCTGCCCTTGAAACTCGCCCCCCCCAAGATAAAACAAGATAAATTTTAAAGGAAAACTCTTGTTGTACAAGCTGTAGTATGACACAGCGAGTCACACAGTCCTTTAGACCATATATTATTACTTGCAAATGTTCATTGCAATGCATTGTTGGTCTGATTTGAGGTCTCTAGGTTTTGCTACATCATTAATTCAATATTGGGCCCTCACTGGGGCTCCCCTTGGATATCCTGTTGTTTTCCCTGTGTCATGGAGATCCTGTAACTTTAGGTCTGTAGGACCAGCCTCTGGTAATTTGTATATAGCCCAGATTGGCCTCAAACTAACAGCAATCCTCTTGTCTCAGCCTCCTGAGTGTTAGGAGTTTAATCAAGAACTGTTATACCCTGTCTCCTTTTTATCTTTTCTTTTCTTTTGTTTTTTGTTTTTTGAGACAGGGTCGCTCTATTATGTAGCTCTGGCTGTCCTGGAACTCACTCATTAGAACAGGCTGGCTTCAAATTCCCAGAGATCCATTTGCCTCTGCCTCCGGAGTGCTGGGATAAAAGGGGTAAGCCACCATATTTTCTTGTGTTTGCCTTCAAAGTTCCCAAAGCAGGTAGGTAGCTGCTCCTGGCAGCATGCCCCTTTTAAGTTGATGTCACCTCCCACTGGGACACAGCAGAGCACCTGGTTAACCCTGAGTTGATGGGAGCAGCTGTCACTCCAGCAATGACACAACCTTGGATTTCAAGCTTGGCTTCCCTCCTCAGTATCTGACCACCCACATGCCAGGGTGCCTGGCTTTGCAATCCATAGTCTTCTAAGCAAAGACCCTGCCAGAGTAGGGGGATACCCCCACAAAAAAAAACCTGGGTGTGGCAAACTGATTTTGTGTGTCTTACTCTGCAATTTCTAGATCAGAGTCAACCCTATTTCTGAGGCTTGGGCACATCCAAGCTGTTTTTAACAGTTTGCTGACTTAAGGGAACCCTCATGTCTGTCTGTCTATCTGTCCCAAGTGTCTTGGTGTCCTACTGGGGAATTTGTAAATAAGTAGTATTCAGAATGCTGGACCTAGAAATGAGTGAGGTGGCACATGCCTGTAATCTCAGCACTCAGGAGGTAGAGGCAGGAGGATCAGGAGTCCAAAGAAAAAAGAAAGGAAAGAAAACAGACTAGCTCATTTATCAGGTGATGCCATGTATGCCCCAGTGTTTTCTGAATCAACACAGGTTGAAATGATCAACTCAGTTAGTTGGCTAGAAATGACTCTGTTCCACAGCTGGGACTTAAGACACAGAGCATCTCTGTAGAGCAGCACAACAGTGTGCATCTGAAACCACACATGGAGAGTTTAAACCTTTGACTTTTGATATTTTGTTTCTGCAAATCTGAAGAAATTAACTCTGAACTGGGCAGCTGTATGCACAAAAATAGTCCCAGTGAGCCAGATTGCAGGAGTGAGGGTCAGCAGGTTCCAAGAAGAATGTGAAGTAGGTTGTGGGACAGCTACTGAGGGAAGTGTTCACATCCACAGTGGCCATGGCCTGGGAGGGTGGCTGTCAGTAAATTGATCTCCTTGCAATTATGAGAACCTGAGCGGGATTCCCTATAACATAGATAAGAAATTCTGACATGGTGACAGGTACTTGTTTTCCTAGCACTGAAGATGTAAAACAGACTGATCCTTATAGGCCAGCCTGGTTAGCCTCTAAGTGAGTTTCTGACCAGTGAGAGGGAGCCTGCATCAAAGAACAAAGTGGACGGCCATTGTATAATATTATTCTTGAGGAGATGTGAACAAATGTCTGCTCACCCTAGACAGGATACCACCAGCAGACCAAACACCCAAGTCCAACTTGGTGAACCAGTGTGTTTTACTGGGGGTGATTTACAGGAGTATGGGGGGGGTAGTCACTTGCAGGTGTAGAAATGACTCAAAGACAGCTGCATTACCGAAAGCCCATCCCAACATAGGTGACAGCTCACCAAAGCTGGAAACCTGAAGCACACTTAAAGCATAGCCTGCAGGCAACTCAACAGATTGGAGAACATTTCTTCCTTGGAGCTTATTTGGTCGGAGCCACTCGGCTGTTTTGATAGCAGCTCTCAGTAGTCCTCACTGCTTATATATGCTTGAGAGGGAGGAGCCTCGTGAATTTGATCAGATTCAGGGACTTCCTAAAGCTATTGAGTTGTTTACTTTGTGAGACTCAAGGAGATTCCTTCCAAGATGAAATTTGTTTTATCTCAGAGGAATTTACTGTACAATACTGGCACCCCGGGACCATGCTTGAAGTTGTCTTCTGGCCTCTATACACTCTATACATGCGCCTATACCATGCATACATGTGTATGTGTGCACACGTGTGCGTGCGTGCACACACACACACATTGTGAAGACCAAGAAAGAGCTGAATGATGCTCATAACACATTGAAGAAGTGACATCCTATATTACAGACCTGATAAGACCACAGTTAACATGAAAATGTGGTACAAAAAAATATAGTTGTGGGGGTAGGTGTTATGATTTTTCTGAATTTTCTTTACTTTCCCAGCTTTTTTTTTTTTTTTTTTTTTTGAGACAGGGTTTCTCTGTGGCTTTGTAGACCAGGCTGGGATCCACCTGCCTCTGCCTCCCAAGTCCTGGGATTAAAGGCGTGCACCACCACCGCCCGGCCTCAGCTTTCTATAGTATCATTTGTTATTTTAGTTTTACAAGAAAGCAGTGGAAGTGATGGGGAAATGAAGTTTTCAGGATTGGTTTTAAGATGGAGACTGATGAATTCTGCAGGATGGGGATGACATGGCCTGCAGTTGGCTCCCCTTTGACAGAAGGCTCAGAATTTCTGGCAGTGATTTCTGTCAGATCTGCTCAGTGGTGGTATTAGAGGTCACCACGGTTGACTGGGTGTGGGTCAGGAAAGTGGTTAGTCTGTACACAATGGCATGGGGTATGGACTGTGCTTGTGTGCCTTCCCTTCCCTCTGAGGACTCTGATGCCTGAGGGGCCCACACATCCTCACCTGCCTGCAACACCCCTCAGGAAAAGTCAGAACCCAGCCATGTGCTCTCACAGCCAACAGGGATCCTTGACCATTTCTGATTCTGGTCTTAGAGCTGTTCAGGGTACATTATGACAAGGCTTGGCCTCATAGCTCCTAATGTGTTTCAGGCCTGTAGTGAGGACTGCTATGAAAATAGTTACTTGGGACCAAAAGATGACTATAACCTTATATTGTTACAGTGTCTTCACATGTCTGAGGAAGAGTGTATGTGAGCCGGCTGTCTGTCCCAGGGGGTTCTAAGGCTTGCTCTCATTTTTCTTTTCTTTTGTTTCCCCACAGAGTCAGATGGAGTTCAGCATCTCCTCCTTATCCATCCAGGAGCCTGGCACAGCCACCATGACTAGTGATCCCAGGCCCCTGGCCAAGGCTCCTCAGGGCACACAGGCTGCCAAGCCTGCCCAAAGCAGCAGATCTTCTAGCCTGGATGCCCTGGGACCTTCAAGGAAAGAGGAAGAAGCATCCTTTTGGAAGATCAATGCTGAGCGCTCTCGGGAGGGGCCTGAGGCCGAGTTCCAGTCGCTGACACCCAGCCAGATCAAGTCCATGGAGAAGGGAGAAAAAGTCATGGCCGCTTGCTACCGCCAGGAGCCCATCACAAAAGACAAGGAGGTCAAGGCTATACCCCAAGAACAACAAACCCTCTCCAGTGTAAGCACAGAGCAAGAGGTGCCCCAGCCTGTGCAAGCCCCTGCCAGCTTGCTGCCCAAGGCCACCCCCATTGAGTCCCCAGAGAAGTCATCGCCTCCCGCTGCCCAGCAGGATGAAGAAGACGATGCTCTGTTCTCAGAGCCTGTGTTTTCACAGGTGGGTGGTGATGGCACCAACTCTACATCAGAAGTGGAGGGCACATTCTTTCACGGATATCCAAGGAGGGCTTATAGGATGGGACAGCCATCAATGTCCCCATGGTCTTCTTCCCCTCTACTGAGTTCAATTTCCAGAGCCCATGTTAAAAAATACCTGGGCATGGTGCAATGCTTGTAATCCCAACACGGGGAAGTTGGAGACAGATGTATCCTTGGGCTTGTTGGTCAGACAGCCTAGCCTACTTGGTGAGTTCCAGGCCAAGGGTAGACCCTGTCTGTAAAAAGTGTCTAACACCCAAACGTATCTTTTGGCCTCCTCGTGTGCACGTACACACACACACACACACACACACACACACACACACACCCACACACACACACACACCCACACACACACACACACCCACACACACACACACACCCACACACACACACACACCCACACACACACACACACCCACACACACACACACACACACACACACACACACACACACACGAGCAGGGGTGGGGATGGATTGAATGATGTGTCTGTTCACATTATAATGCTGTCAGAAGCAGGAGGGTGCCAGTAGAGAAGCAGGTCGTTCTCTGCTCTGTGCATGCTGGTGTTGGATGTGACAGGGTGTTGCTTGCACTGGATTTTGTGCAGCTTTCTGGTCCTTGGCACTGAGGTAAATTGAGGTCAGGGGCCCCTGAGGCAGAAGCAGCTGCTATCATCTGGGTCGTTGTAAATGAGGTGCTGTATATAGGTTGAATGTGGCTGGAATGGAGGCCCATGTCTTATTTTGTGTCCTTTGTCCCTCTGCAGATCAGCTCAAGTAACACCCTCTTGAAGACGGGCTTTGATTTTCTGGACAACTGGTAAACAGTGCTACCTGGAAAGACAGCCAAGAGCCCCCAGTGTGGCCCAAGTGGTGTTCAGAGGAGAAGGCAGCTCCGCCTATGTATTTTCCTGTTTTCTCTGCTCTTTTCTTAGTCTTTTGGGAACTAGGAAATATTGCCAGGGTTTCTTTTTTTTTTCTTTTTCTTTTTCTTTTTTTTTTCTTTCTTTTTTTTGGTAAAACCAAATAGATAAATACACTATTTTCAAGGATTTGATAACAAGTTTTACACTTGGGATTTTTAAAGACTAAGAATCCAGTAAATAAAACTTCTGTTCCCAGCTCCATCTCACTTATCCTTCCAAGAAGGTTCTCGGACCAAGTCACAAAATGTCACAAAGGTGATGCCCTCTTCTCTTTGCACCCTCTCCAGTCCTTTTCATGTTGGGGGCTCCCTGGATGGATGTGGGCTGCTGGCTGTCACTGTGGAAGATTCATCCTTACAAATGGGCTCTCCTGGTACCCTTCCTTCGCTGAAGCCACATTTGGTGTTCTTCTCCTCCCCTCCTTCTAGGAAACAGACTGCTGGCAGGTGGCAGGTGCCTCTAAGCCATCCCGGTGACTTACTCGGAGCTTTGATTGTTTAGAAGCAGTTGCCTGTTGACAGGTTTTCTATCCGATTCTCACTGTTTTATATGTAGCTGCAGCAGCTTCCTTGGTTTTGTAGGAGTTTTCTTCTGGAAGTTATTATAACTGTCCTGCTAGTGTCCCAGTCCTGGCCACTATGGGAGTCAGGGTGGTGACAGAGGTGCTGGAGAACAGGGCTCTTCTGATTCACTGTGTTAGAACCGTCCAGTGTGAGACGGGCAGGCTTGGCCATTCTTTGCCCCAGTCTGATCAAGCTGTGTCATGAAGGCCTCTCCCCGAGACTTGACCACCTTCAAGTGCAAGAGGCCTTCCTGAGGGTTCCAGAAACTTCCCCCTTGCAGCCCTGAGAGTTCACAGCAGCAAGGCTGGGTGAGGAGCATGCACCTCACCCAGATACACTGTTCTTTGTCCTCATGGCTGGCCTGCCATGGCCTCTGGACCACATGCATCTGCAGGAGGTGCCAAGCAGATCTGTGAGCTCTGGGTGGCATGGTCTACCCTTCACCGTTGCTCCGTTCTCTTCACCTGAAGCCTTAATCTCCATGAGCCCCCTCCTCTGAGCGCCTGGTTTCAGTACTGAAAGGTGTAACCTTCTTAATGCCTGTGTCGTAGGACTTTCTGAAATAACTTCTGGAATAGTCTCTTTGGCCGTGTTTACCAAGGTAAAGCACACAGCAACTATCCCACCCTTCTCTCCCCTAGGAAAACATGCCAAAGCTGTACTTAGCCAATATTGATGTGATACCTGCCAATTAGCTTATGTCCTAAACCTCCCTTTGTCCCTTGGTCCCTTGGGTTTGGATTTGCCTTCCTCTAGCAACATTTGACCAGTCATCTTTCCATAATGTTGTAGAGCAGTTGATAGGAGAAGGATAGAAAAGCTTCTGGCACACAAGGAAAAAAATAACTTGCAAGCCACCATTGGCACAGGCAAGCCACCATTGGCACAGCCCAGACTGGCACTCACTCTTCAGGGGAGTCCAGCACGGCTGCCATGTGCCCACCCTCCTACCCCCGTGCGGAGGGTTGATTTGAAGCCTGTGCATGTTTTCCTTCCCTGTAGGTCTAAGGTTCCTGCTATTGACATAGCAGGAAGGAGAAGGCTCGCCCTGGCCACTTGACCAGGGTGATTAGTCTGCTCTCCGTGCAGACATTTTCACTTCTTCCCACTTTCTCCTAATTCCCTTCTAGTTTCTCCAGTGAAAACATGGAGAGGGGCTGAGTGTAGGCACGGTGTTGTTTCTCAAGGAGGCCTCCCAAGAGCAGGTGGGAAATCACAGGGAGTCTAGGAGGGATCCTAAAGGACTCACCTGACCTGGGTCCTTGCACCTGGGCAGGGTCCACACCAAGCTGGCTTCTTGGTCTCCCCCAAGGACTCTGTGGCAGTGCCCAGGAGATTGGCCAGGTGTTTACCACCTTCTCTTCCTCCGGCATCCTGATGAAGTACATTCATCATTTCTCTTACAGTACATTCTTTGGCTGAAGCCTGTGTATGATTTTGGACTCCACCACACACCCAGGCTCAGCAACTGGGAGGCAGCTCCAGGGCTCTGTGTCTTGCTCTTGGTGGCTGTATTTGACAAAAGCTCTCAGGAACCAAGACTGTGCCTGTTTGGGCTGTCCCTAAATCCCAGGCCCTCAAGGCTTGGATGTGCTCCCATTAGGAACAGGGGAGCGGCCTCCTGGCCAGGTGTGTCCCTCATGCTAGGGCCAGAAGTGGCCTTCTGTTCTTCACACCACCCTCTCCTTTGATACATGTTTTCAAAATGGTAAATTCTTATTGACAGATTATAACTTGGTCCTATTTTGTACTATTAGCCTTTAATAAAGCCATTTTAAAATGAGAGCTGGGTCTGTTTCATTTTCTGCTGTGCTCTGGAAGCTGATCAGAGTGGTGGGAGTTTAATGCCAAGTAATGTTTCCTAGGAAGATGTCAAGAAATATCCACTCACCCTAGATAGGTTACTAATAGAGAAGATTGCATCCAGTTCTATTTAGTGAGCCAGTGAGTTTGTTGGGTAACTTACCAAAGTGGGCCCTACAACCAGGAAGTCCCCTTCCTCAACTTGGTGGCTTATGTTGCAGCTCCACCACTGGAATCCCCAAGTCAGCCTCTCCCTCCTAAATATCCTAGTGCCACTGCCAAGACCAAGTGCATCAGGAGGGAGTGACAGCTGGAACCTCAGTTTGCCCCTTTGTCATGACCTCATGTCTAACACTCATCATGTTCTAGTTTCCTGTGGGCCATGGTCTTCTGCACCACAATTGTGCTTTGTGACATCAGTAGTCATGCCTAGAAGTGATGGCTCCACTACAACATGAAATAGAGAAAGATTCACACCTGTGGGAGGTGTGAATCAGAGTCTACACCATCCCCTATGCAGCTAACAGAAGTGATGGCCCAGGTGCACCTGCCCCAACAGACAGATGACTTTGTCCTGGAGATGTAACCAGAACACTAGAGTTTATGCTGGCCATCACCACAAATGCCAATGGGCAGAGGCAGGAATGAATGTTGAAGTCGAGTTGTTCAGAGTGCCAGAGATCCAAAAGGCAATGCACCAACATCATAAAAACTGCCTTACACCCCACCTCCAGCCAGCAGGCTTTGTAGGGAGTGAAAACAAAGGCCATTCAATAGCTAACCTAGTTAACTAGTCTGATTCAGTTTGTTAACTCAGAATGATAAATTGCCAAATTTTTCTACAGATAGAAAAATTTCGAATGTCACTTTAAAAAAGAGAGGGGGGGGGGTTTCTTTGTGTAGCCCCAGCTGTCCTGAAACTTACTCTCTAGATCAGATAGCCTTGAACTCAGATCTGACTTTCTGCCTCCCAGGTGCTGAGATTTAAGGCATGTACCACCATGCCTGGCCAGATGTCACTTTTCAAATAAACTTTCATTAATACAAAACACAGCTCTCATCTCAAATGGAATAAGGTAGCCCTCACTTCCCTCTTCAGGATTCTGCCTGCTCCTCTCACTAGGTCATGTCACCTGTGCTTCTCTGATCTCACTTGGGGCCCTGCTGTCTTCCGCATGCCTTCTTGGCTGCAGGCTTCCTGCAGTGAGTTGCCGGTCCTGGCTTCCCTAGCTGTTGGCTCTATAGAGGGTTACAGGTTCCATGTTCAAGTCCCCTCCCCCCAAGCCTACCGACTCTTCCTATGAAAATGTTGGTGCCTTGAAGTGCTAGGATAAAGGGAGAAGCCCCAACTGACCCCCTCAGGCAGCTGGAGGGTGTTTCAGCTCCTGCACTCCAGCTCTGGTCTTCTTGGGGTCTCTGGCTGCACGCTTGTGAGATAGTGAGGCTTCAGGGTTCTCTGGAAGCAAGCCAAGCTGTCCATCTCTCTGGGAACCACATAGCCAGCCTCCTCTCCATTGAAGCAGCCAGAGCCAATTTGGCATTCTGTGATGGCCTCAATAGATCTATGTTTCTGTAATACTTAATCTTCCCCTTGCCATCAGTGACCCAGGTATCTGAGACTCTGGCCCAGTCCCTCTGCAGTGCCACTTTGGGGAAAATGTCATCCATTAACTCTGTTTACTGGAACCTCATCACTCACTATCCTCTGGCCCTGGGTCATATCCTCATTAGATGACAGTGTGAGTTATTGAATGGTCCATAGATGAGTGTTGGTCTCTAAGTCACCTGGGACATCACTCAGCTTCCCTTCCCTAGGCTTCTTACCTGTAGTCTGTGTGAAACATGGGACAGGATGAGAAACAGGAATGAAACTAAAATGCAAACACAGGGCTGGCGCACAGCAGGACTCATGCCAACCTGAGTGGCCTAGTGTTGAGAATAGCCTGGCATCAGGAGACCTTGCTCTTGGGACTCTGTGACATCCATCTTAGTAGCCTTCAAAGAAATGGCATCACTGCAGTGAAACTTGCCTTTTTGCAGCCAGCTCAAGCAAGAAACACAGATTGCTGTTAAGGGCACAGCCGGACAAAACTCGCCAGGTCCCTGTCACCAACCATCTGGGTCTCTTCTCAGCAAACTGCTCTCTGCCTCCAAACATCACCGGTGGTGACTCATGCATCTATTTTTGAATTTTCTGGGCTGGATTTTTAACCCAAACCAACTGACAGCAGTCTCTGCTTTAGGGTCAGAATGACCAAGTCATGTTACATAACATAGTTGTCCTTTGGTTATGATGAAAAGTGTCTTTTCCTGTTTGCCCACTGGCATGTGAGCCCCTGGACTGGGGTCTCCATCAGGCACTGGAATGATGTCCGACATGGTATCGAGGTTTGTGGCAGGCTGTCTCAGGAGTTCCCATCTTCCTCCTTTGTGGCTTGGCAGATACTCAGAGTAATGCCATGTGTGCCTGAGAGGCAACTGCTGTTCTTAAGGTGTTAGGAAATGGGAAAGCCACTCAGAGGGTGGAGTCAATAGTGGAGGAGAAAAATGCCCTTCTCTGCTCCCCTTGTGACCCAGTTCTGGTGGTTCAGTTTAAACAGAAAACACTCCATTGTTTACTTTGGAGCTTCCGAGGGACCCCATGGCCTGTCTAAGACGTGATGTCTGTCAAGGGTGAGGCATGCCATTCTCCATAGTGGAAACCACAGCTGCTAGCTCAGCCTCCTGCACCCAGGCCTCAGAAAACCTTGAGCTGCCCCCCTACCCAGTCTCAGGACACCAGCCATGAGTGTGACCCCCCCCAAAGCGGGGGCAGGCATGGCTGGCAGGCTCTTAGGGGATGAAGCTGAGTGGAGAACAGTTCCTATTAGAACAGAGTCACCAGGTCACTAGACCAGAAGGTTCTGGATGAGTCAGGCAATTGAAGCAGTGTTCTGAGAATGGGAGGGTCAGACAGAGGACCGAGGGCTGGTCCTGGCCTGCAGATGAGCAGCCCATTCTGTCAAGGGACAGTGTCAGAGTCACCTGCAACTCCCAGGGATGTCAGAGAAGCTGAGTTCCCTAAAAGGGTCTCTGTGTGCTTGCCTGTCGACAGTTCCCAGAGGATGGGACCCATTTTCAAAGGGTTTCTTAACTCATGCTGGCAGGAACACGGATATTCCACAGAGACACTTGTGCCCCTTTTTCTTGCCTATCAGACTGTTGAAACAATGGATGCTAAGGAATCGGAATTTCCCCAAGAGTCTGATGGCCAGTGGAGGAAAGGGCTGAAGTCCAGTGCTAACTGGAAGGGGAGCTTGTCTCTTGACAGATTTCAGATCTCACAGTTTGGACAAATTGTCAGATCACCTTGGAAGAGACGAGGGCTGTGACAGTGATGGGTCAAGGGTGAGCTGGACCACACCTTGACCAGGGATGCTTAGCTCTTACCTTCAATTTAAACCTAAACCTCCCATCAGTATACCAAAGATGGGCTTGGTCACTGGACCTCTTTGTTCCTCTTCCAATGTGGCCATGGTGATTAAGTCTCCTTTAGATGCTTTTCACTATGACTTGCCTATGTCACTGGCAACTGAGGAGGATAGGCGAGCCTGTCTTTGGGGGCTGCTAAAGCTAGTAACAGACTTAGGTAGGGAGGTCCCAGAAGTTCAAGGGCTCCACCCTCAGAGGCAGATGTCAATTTGCCCAGCATGGGAAGCTAAGTTTCCTGGCCTCAAACAGTCTGTTGCTGAATTTCTGCCTTGTGCTGAAGGACAGAGAAAGACAAGCTTTTGTAGGGGAAAACTGACAGAACATCCTGAGTGTCTGGGAGCCAGACAGTGTCACCAGGATAGGAAAAAAAAGCTTTAAGTGGCCCTTTTCTCCCCCACCCCTGCAACAGGTCCTGGGGCTCTGGCAGCAGTCACCTCTTGGTGGTGTCAAAACTGGGCCAGATGCACCTAGAAACAGGTGGCTGTAGATGCCGTGCCAGCTGGCTCTGCTCGGAGATGCCCAAAGCCAGAGATGATTCAAATGGGGTATCTGGTCCAGTGATTCAGAGAGCACACAGCACTTTGCAGATGCACATGGGACACAGCTGGCCCTCTTTCCCGCTGAGCCATTACACAGGGCAGGCAGGGTGGATACTGCCCTGGCCCTGACAGCATCAAAGGCCCATGTGGAAAAAGGCAGGCCTATGACCTAGAGCTTGAGAAGGCTTGTAACAGCCAGGCCCTGGGTATCATTTGCAGAGATGGAGTCAAAATGCTATGAGAGTCATCAAGGTCAGTCAGTCTATGCCCTGGCACCTCTAATAAGCAAGGCTCAGCCGCCTGTCTGCAATAGACCAATTAAACAGACAAATAATAATGAGACGTGCAGTTGGGGAGCTGACTTAGTGGACAAGAGTGTTTGCTTTGCAAGCCGGAGGACCTGAGTCTCAAGGCCATACTGTCACCTGCCTGGCCGGAAAGGTACCATCTGGAGGAGCACTTGTTTTCCAGAAAGAGATTTTACACAGTTCTAACAACTTATCAGACCATCATACAGGACAAGACTGATATCTAGACAATGATGGGTCATAGACAAAGATGGGCGGGACCACATCTTGACAGGGACTACTTAGACACGCATGTCGTTGGCTCTCTGTTTAAACTTTGATCTCACTTGGAGACCGTGAAGTTGGACTTGGGGGCTTGATGGATCTCTTTGTCCCTCTTCCCAACTTGGCCACATTCAATGAATCTCCTTTTCCTGCTTTCCACTTTTTTCCATTCTTTCCACTTTAAATTTGGCTCGTTTAACTGGTTTAATTAGGTTGGATTGACAGACCTCACTTGGGGTGTAGGTTGTGGCCCTCAAGTTAGATAACAATAACACAGGTATGGACAGAAGATACCTGGTTCTCTGTTCTGACCTCCTCATATTCACACACAGACTCACATACACAAGCACACATGCACACACACAGAGGGATACACACAGACACACACACACACACAAAG